CCCCCACTCAGTGCTAAATCAAACCTAGAGCTAATTATTTTGAGGCTGAGGAGTGTGGGAGCAGGTCAGCTGCATTCCCCTGCAGGCAAGAAAAATTCTCAAAGCCTCTCGCAGCCTCGTCGTGGGTTTCCACTCCCCTGGAGCCCAGCAGCACGGTACTGAGCTGGGGTGGTTGGTCAAAACTTTTCAGTGCTAAGACTGACCCTCTGTGGCATTAAATAGCCGGAAGGTTTAATGCTGTGCTGAGCGGGAGCGTGCAGTGGGGGCTGGCAGCTCTGTGTGGACAGAGTTAAGGGTCACGCGTGCTGGGTGCTGCCAGCTGTGGGTTGAAGCAGCCACAGCTGTCCCCTCCCACCCGTGGGGAGGTCTGAGCCCACCTTCTCTCCCGCCCCAGGCCCTGCAGCTGGGGACGGTGCTGGTAGGATCCCCCACGCAGGACGGGACCATCTCCATCCTCACCACATCGGCGGAGGCGGACGAGCCCCACAGGGTACAGTTCCCGGCTCCCCACCAAGGCAGCCCCCTGAGCCCAGGGCAGCCTCGCTGGGCCAACTACGTCAAGGGCGTCATCCAGCACTACCCGGGTAAGGCCCAGGCTGCCAGCCAGGTTAGAGCCCCCCTTGCGTGAGGCCGGTGCTCAGCGCCTGGCTTTTGGTGTGCTCCAGGGGTCTTCCAGTGCCGGTGCAATCCTGCAGCTGCTGCTGGGGCCAGGCTCTAGCAGAGATGCTTTCAGCTCCAAAGACCCCTGTGGTTGCACGGGGGATGCCCGGGTCACACTCTGTCATGGGTCACCCCGTGTTTTAAAATGGGATATTGGACAGGGGCTCCTCTCTGTCAGTTCCTCGTGAGCTGTGGGGCAGAGCAGCTCCCAGCCCTGCAGGGCTCACAGCCCCCCTCCTCCCTTTGGTTCCCACAGGTGGTCCTGTGCCGGGCTTCAGCGCCGTGATAGCCAGTGACATCCCCCTGGGCGGGGGCCTCTCCAGCTCAGCCGCTCTGGAGGTGGCTACTTACACCTTCCTCCAGCAGCTCTGCCCTGGTAAGGCAGCAGCCGGTCCTGGCCCCTGGTGCCTCCATTCCCAGGTGGGAGCTGGGATGAGGCGGGGGTGCCCCTAGCAAGATCCTGCAGCCCTCGGGAAAACGCTGCTGTGGGGTGGGTCACAGCCCCCTGCCGCAGCCGGAGCTGGCACCGCTGTGGCTGCGGGGCTCCTCTGGCTCACCCAGCCTGGCCTGCCCATGGGGCTGTCCAGGGGGATGAGAGGATGTTCCCTTCAGAGCATCTTCTCCTCACCCTCATGTCCCCAAAAATGGAGAGGTCTGAGACACCAGTGTCAAATTGTCACATCCAGCTGGATCCAGCGACCCACGCAGATGTCGGGCACTGGTGCAGGAGGAAGCACCTGCGGCTGATGCTTTAACAAAACCCTGTTCCACGGGAAAGCAACCCTTTACCTTCGTGTTTGCTCCCCCTGCTCCAGGGCAAGGGGCAAAGGTCCCAGAGCTGCTAACCTGCGTCTCTCTGCTCTGGCACAGATGATGGTGATTTGGTAGCCAAGGCACTGGTGTGCCAGAAAGCGGAGCACACGTTTGCCAGCATGCCCTGCGGGATCATGGACCAGTTCATATCTGTGATGGGCAAGGAAGGCCACGCACTGCTCATTGACTGCAGGTCAGGGCCCAGCGCCAAGCTTGCTGCGCCGTGCCCACCTCCTTGGGCAGGGGGGGACAAGCTGGTCCCGTGACCATGAAATGAATGCAGGAGTGCAGAGAGGGGTTAACCCCTGAACCCAGCCCAAAATCTCATCGTGGAGTTGGGGCTCCCTGCATTTTAATTCCTGTGTCTTGATTCGTCCCTCTGCATCCTTTCTGCTACTTGCCTGGGCTGTCTTTCCTGCAAAGTTGTTAGGGTCTATTATGGGACTAATAACTGGGAGTGAAATGCTCAAGTGAAATACTAAACCACTTGGACTTTGCCTCTGTGGAGGCAAGAGCTGCGTGCAACATGGCCTCACCTGGATGGCCGGGGGCTGGAGCGGGCAGGGGGGACAGAGACATGGCCCGCGCTGAGCTCTCACTGCAGGTCCCTGGAGACCGTCCTTGTCCCGCTGACTGATGCCAGCTTGGCCGTCCTCATCACCAACTCCAATGTGCGGCACACGCTGACAGGCAGCGAGTACCCCACACGCCGGCGGCAGTGCGAGGAGGTGGCAGCGGCCCTCGGCAAGGCCAGCCTGCGAGATGCCACCATGGCTGAGCTGGAAGGTGGGGATGGTTCCTCCCTTGGCTCTGGCTGCTCCTTGGGGCAGCAAGAGCTTGGTGCCCCATGGCGTGGGCTGAGGCTGTGGGGCAGCACCTGGGATGGG